TTTTTAAAAAATAAATAAAAAAAAAGCTCTGTTCTATGATAGTTTTGTATATTCTTCTCGAAAATACACGTAGAATGTCATCTTTTGAATCATTTTTTGAGCATATGGCTTTCAGATGTTAATATTTATCTACCTTTTTTTTTCTTTTGGTTACTCATAACATTAGTAATATGTAATACTTAGTGAAGTGTTTTCATAAGGTAAATATTCTGACTTACTTGAAAGCCTAGAAATTAATTGTTCAGTTTATGCTCATATGACAATAGAATAATATTTATGCATATATTAATGAAATTATGGTTTAAAATTACAATTTAAGTCATTACATTTTAATCATAAGTTCATGTGAAGTGTCATTATATGCATCATTTTGAGGATAAATTTGAAGTGATGAAGTATCATTTGCATAATTAAATGCATGAATAATGCTGTTAGCTTAGCTTACATTTATTGATTTAATAATTAAAAACCTTCCCAGTTAATGAAAACTTCTAAATTATTCGCTGAAATATCAAATATTGAAATGCTGCAACTTCGATACATCGTTAAATACGAGAAGACAGGGTAAGAAAAATTCTCATTAATTTCAGCTTTAGTAAATTAAATTTAGCCTGCTTACACTTTGCTGTTTAACAAAGATAATAATCTGGAAATTAGATAATTTAATTGAGCAAAAGACATGCAAAGGTGCGAAAGTGAAAAGAGGCAAAACAGGAAATGACATTATGTGACATTAAGTAATTCAAAGCATTATAAGAAGATCTTTTATGTAAACAAGAAATTGGTCGATTCACGTCAACATTTTTGATTTTGATTTTTTTTTCCTTTAACTGATGATAACAAATCTTTATAAAGTTCATTACCCTCAATTTGTACCAATATCAATAAGCAAATTTTCTAATTTTTCTTACATTTTTGCTATTTCTTTGTTTTTTTTACATTTATGTTAATGCAACAAAATGGTAAAAAGAAAAAATTTATTTAAAAATGTAAAATTTATAGCATAAAAATGGAAAATAAATATTGAAATAAAATATTTTACAAAAATATTCGAATGGGTAAATATTAATTCTACTTATCTTATCTTTTAAATCCAAACAAAAAAATTCCATCTCATTCGAAAAATATTCACTCAATAATTATATGCAAACTAATTAGTGGACATGCTTATTGATACGGTAAAATTTTTAATTAACATTAATCATATGATAATAAGAACCTGTAGAAACAAAAAAAAAGAAAAAAAACATTAGCTCTTGAATTTTTTTTTCAAGCTATAAAAATTTGTTAAAGCACAAAATCTCATTTAATTTTAGCTTAAAATTTAATTGCAAACAAAATTTACCATTTGAAATGTTGCTTTTCTTTGTTTTCTAATAGTTGAAAATTGAGGCGGAAAAGTTTGCTTCCTTTTTTTTGTTTTTCTTCAAAGATGTTAAGATTCTGTTTTAAAATTGTTTTATTTTATGCTTCAAGTTTTAAGTTAATAAATTGATGTCCATGTTGTTGTTAATCATTTTTACATCCAGATGTTTCCCATTCAAATATTTCCCCTCCAGACAAACAGTTAGTTTTTCAGCTAGGATGAATGAATGTTTGTTAAGTTTGTTTTCTTCAAAACTACTTCTACCAATTTTAAATTTTACTTCCAGCATTATTTATTAACTATATTGTATTTTGGTATTATCTATTTTAGCTTCAAAAAAAGTGAATTATTTATTATACAAGTGACCAGTTGATTAGCCTTACATGACAATAAACCGGGAAATTTTAGTGTAAAGATGGGTTTGAAATGGGAAATTTGATGTCAACGTGCATTTAAAATGGGGAATTTTACTGTCAAGGTGGATTTGAAATGGAAAATTTTAGTGTCAAGGTGGATTTGAAATGGGAAATTTTAGTGTCAAGGTGGATTTGAAATGGGAAATTTTAGTGTCAAGGTGGATTTGAAATGGGAAATTTTAGTGTCAAGATCGATGCATTATGCAATCAAAATATCAACATTTTTCAATACATCAGAGTATTAAAATTTTTGTTAAATCAAATTTTGATGGAAAAAATTTTTAATTTATGGGAGAAATTTGTTGCAAAGTTTTTGTTCAATAATGAATGGAAACATTCAAACAACACTTTTTTCTCCTTTCTCATTAATAATTACACAAACGCTAATTTGTCGGTTGAAAATTGAAAATTGAAAATTTATTATAAAATTTCACCCATTGAAAACTTTTCTGTTTTTTATTTTTTTTTAATTCAAAATATTCATTAGACTATTCAGTAATAATATTCTGTCATATGATGATGCTATTTACTCTTCGATATTTTCACATCAATACGGGAAAAGGCGCAAATGGGATGGAAAGAAGGGAAAAGAGAGAAAAGTGGATGAAAATGAAATGCGAAAATATTTGATAAACTGAATCTGAAATTATCTATCGTTAAAAACTCAACCAAAAAAAAAAAATTCAAATTAATTCAGACGGGGTCAACACTTTTTTCTTTTTTTCCCTTTCCTCTTTTCATTTCCTTTCAATTTTTCATCTCTTCGTTTCCATTTTAATGCCTTTAACAAGTTTACACCAACGATTTATAAATTTTCATATTTTTTTCTCCTATCAATGAAACTGTATTGAATTATTCACTGGGAATTATTTGGTAAAATAATCGAACGGAATCGATTAAGTTGAACATATTGCGAATTTATGAAAATAAATTTACCGTAATTCATCCAGGATTTGGTGGAACCAAAGAATTGGTTCAGGATTTATTAATTCGATATATATTAATTCAATAATGAAAAGGAAATTTCGGAATATAGCGAATTATATCAATTACTTGATTATATGGATTTTAATTAGATGATTATTTGCAATGATTGATTGCAATTGGTGATAATTTTCAATGACAATAATAATTATTATTATGATCTGTTAAGGCAAAAGAAAATTTTTGGAATATAACAAGTTATATTTATCATTTGAATTTATACATTTCATTTGGTTGATAATTATTATCAATGATTGATTATAATTGATGATAATTTTAATAATAACAATTAATAATAATAATAACAATAATAATAATAATAATAATAATAATAATAATAATAATAATAATAATAATAATAATAATAATAATAATAATAATAATAAAATAATAATAATAATAATAATAATAATAATAATAATAATAATAATAATAATAATAATAATAATT